CAAGAATTAAAGAAACAATCGAACACTTGGAAAATACTAGAAAATGATGAAAATATTGAATTATTACATTTCATTCCTACTATTTTATCACCATTAATTTATTACCTTTAAAGTATAGAATAACAGAGAATCATTTTACTATTACTGAACTATAAAGCAATAAATTATTATTTTACTATTAATAAATTACAAGATAACGATAGTATTTATTCTTCTTAAAATTTATTTATTCTTTTCGTTCCGTATCTCGATATTCAGAAAACAATTACGATACTCATAGAATCGTCATCGGGTGATTGTTCAAGCCAATTGGCACACGCGCTCCCTTCAGTTCCAGACCACAGTAGAGTATCGGCCGTTCTATTCGTAACGATTTCTGCCATCTTGATTTTCTACACACATCTCTGCCTGCCTCTGACGTCACCGTTCACCATACAGCGGCTGAAAGTGCATTAAAGGCGTCACTGATCGGACGTATTCACGCCGCTCCTTTACCGTATCAATCCGCCAGTCGCACGTGCTACAAAGATCGACGACGAATAATTTTTTTCGCAGCGGAAACCTTCTCGCCCCGACGCGACGGCATTTTTTCCGGCTATGCGTGTCGTGAGACGATCGAAACGCGGCGCGATACGTCCACGAACGTTCTCGGGGTTTTTTCTTTAATTTTTTTCAAGCAGCTTTTTGAATCGACGGTCGATTCTCCACATGGGCAACAGTCAGGTCCTCCGGACGACATACCGTGAAAGAAACGAAACCCCGTAACACCCCCGGGATTTGGCAGCACACATGTGGTCACAGATTCTTTACTTTTACGTCAGCCTCGATCCATAAACACAACACAACACGATCTCATGTCTTGACATTTCTGTGTTCAACGAGAACGTCGGTACTCCCGTATGATAGAGTAAAGAGTAATGACCTTTTTGTAACGTAGGGCTTCGATGTTGTAAGATTGTATATGTGTTACGGGCCCATGTTGGATTCAGTGACACACTGAGGACAGAGAAATTTCGATCGTTCTACATGTTATATGTAACGTGGATTTTTCTTGATAAATGTAAAAAAATTCATCGTAGAATTTCGTTGTTCCTGTTGCGTGTCCCTTGTTTGGAATTGGCACCGGATACGCGCGGATGTGAATTGATTGGAACAATACGCATATGGATAAGATGAAACGAAATCGATCGTGCAAACAGCGGGTGTCTGCTGAGTTCATGATGAGCCTCGCATTAAATATTATATATTTACAGAGTAGAAGGAAGTGGAGCATGGAATGGTCATGGTGAAGTTTTTTTGTACTTGATGCAAATAACACTTTTGGTCACCTTTAGGCACTTATGTTTTACGTTCACCTTTTCTTTTCTTTTTTTTTCGTTTTCCTGTCTCTGATCTCGCTTTGTAACAGTAAGACCGTATATTTTTTGATTAATTGTATACATATCGCACGTAGATTTACTTAACACGAGTTAGAAAGGAGTTTTGTGCTTGTATTTGATTGCAAGGATCGAGTACCTACACGAACGAGCCTGCACTCTACCGTAACCTTTTTTCAATCTGAATTGTTTCTTGTTCGCAGTTTTATATACTCCGTACACCCTTTTACTACTTTCGTTGTCGATTTATTCTCTTCTCTCCGTTCTGTGCTTTTCTTTTTTGTCTTCTTCTTCTTTTTTTTCTTCTTTTTTGGTCGATCCACGATCGACACCTTTTCACTTTCTTTCGTTCATGACCGTTTATCGTTTTGTACATATTTCGTAATACCTAGTACAGATTTACTTATGATACTGTGTGTGTATGTGTGTGTGCGCGGCGCTTGCGTGTGTAGTTGTTCGATCACGTTAGTTGGTTAAAACGACTCACACCAATATATCCTATTCTCGCAATATTCCGGTAAGTTTAGAACCATCTCTATTTAAGTATGTAATTATATATTCATTGCGAATGTAGATTTATATATGTATATATGTATATATACATGATCTGTATATGTATATATGTATATAAATTGTACAGACGAATACACGCGAGTTTCTGATCTTGTGGTAAATGTTTCTTTAATATTGCCAATGGATTCTCCTGTTCTGTTTTTTTTTCTTTGTGT